TGACACTTCAGAAAATTTTTGAATACAAACAAATGTTGCTATGTTTATTTGAATTAAAAAAAAAAAACATGAGCGCCATCTATCGATAATTTATTAAGTCATTTAAAAATAATATTAAATCGTAATAAAAAATGTGAAATAATGCAATCTATTCCAATTTTTGTGTAAAACATATATAAATTAAACAGTTCAACAAATATATTTGTTTCAAATATCAGAAATATGTTTTTTTAATTTTTAGTTATAGAACCGTAATTTACAGGAAGCTGTAAATTTAATTTCTTCGACGACACTAAAAGAAAAGTTTATTTTTACTCTTATTCTAAAACAATAAAAAATAGACCTGTCAAACACTATATTTTTGTAATCAGAAAAAAATAACGAATTTATTAAGCGAATAATCAGTGGTTAACATTTAAAAAAACGAAAATTGTGATAATATCTCAAAATCTAAAACCAACAAAATTTTTTTGACTACGTCATCAAATTCTCTGTAAAAAAGTGTCCATATAATATTACTCCACCTATAATAATAACCAAGATAATTAAGAAGACCCTCAAAGTTATCAATAAACAACAAAATATAGTAGTACAATATACAAGCATATTTTTAAGAGTTGACAACCACGTTAATCTTCTCTTTAAAAATGAAAACGTCCAACGAAGATTAAAAAGGATTAAGCCATTTGATCTTGCCTAGTGAGTAACAGTGGTAAATAGTATAATTAATTTAATAATGTCTTCTGAAAACCACGTAACTGGTTCGTTAGAACTTTTTCAGCTTTTTCAGGTTCCACTACAATAAATAGGTATACTAATGTTTACAGATAAAATGTAGAGAATTAAATTCCCTTTCGGGTAGCTTAATAAAATATGGGGCGTTCCATTTAAAATTTTCGACTTTCTTGGGGTTGAATATGAAGAAACGGTAATTCAATTTTTGGCCACCCTGTATAAAATACTCTGATACAATAAATGACAATCTATTTGACAGCATCTGAAAAGTAATCGTGCCAATTTAGAGCTTTTTTGAATGAACGTTGGCTGGGATATAGGGTTTTAAAGAGCATGGTGAAATTTGCCAAAAAAAAAAACTTAAAATCAAAATAACTCGAAAACGAAAGAGGCTAGGTACCAATAACTTTTATCAAAGTCAACTTATTTTATTACGTACAATTAAAAGGTGTAATAAAAATTATAGCATTCCATTTAAAATAACGAAATTTCAAAACTATATCAACAGTGGAACCTAAAAAAGTTCTAACGAACCAGTTACGTGGCCACCAATAAAAACATTCGGATTTAGACATCTTGAGAGACCCGATACTTTCTAGTTCTAGGTTTTGTGTTAGTTCTATTATAATTTTGTTTTTAAACTAGGAAGAGTGAATCCGAAAGTCAGATTTACACTAGGACATATCACTATGTCATGTTTAGACACACTTGAAAAGTTTTTTAATAAAAAATACATCATTAAAGAACACCATGAAATTGTCCATTTCTCTATTATATGATAACTAACTTCAGGTGTAAAATGTCAACAATTTTGACATATTTGTAATCTTCATTAAAAATCCTTTAAAATGAGTACAAACACGACGTATTTATCTTCAATATTAACGAAGTTATGGCCAACTTCCGGTTAGAAATGTCAACCTCAATTTTGACATATTTGTAATCGTTGCGAAAAGTCCTTTAAAATGAGCCCAAACATGATACGTTTAATTCCAATATTACTCGAGATATAAGCAACTTCCGGTTTGAAATGTCAATGTCATTTTGATATATTCTTCATTTTTATGAAATGTCTTAAAATTTGTCACAAAAACAAAAATATAATAAAAAAATCAGAAATTAAGGTTGGTATTAATATTTAAAAATTAAATTGCTATCTTCATTGTTGCCAACTTCGGATTTAATACTTTTTATTCTAACTTTTTAGTTTTTTGAGATAAATTCGTCATGTTTGGACACATTTTAAAAGTTTTTTAATAAAAAATACATCATCAAAGAACACCATGAAGTTGTCGATTTCGTATTTATAACTAACTTCAGGTGTAAAATGTCAACCTCAATTTTGACATATTTGTAATCTTCATTAAAAATCCTTTAAAATGAGTACAAACACGACATATTTATCTTCAATATTAATGAAGTTATGGTCAACTTCCGGTTAAGAATGTCAACGTCAATTTTGACATATTTGTAATCGTCGTGAAAAATCCTTTAAAATGAGTCCAAACATGATACGTTTAATTCCAATATTACTCGAGATATAAGCAACTTCCGGTTTGAAATGTCAATGTCATTTTGACATATTCTTAATTTTTATAAAATGTCTTAATATTTGTCACAAAAACAAAAATATAATAAAAAAAAATAAAAAATTGAGGTTGATTTTAATATTTGAAACTTAAATTGCTATCTTCATTGTTGCTAACTTCGGGTTTAATGTTTTTTATTCTAACTTTTTTGTTTTTTGAGATAAGTGCGTCATCTTTGGACTCATTTTAAAGGTTTTTTAATGAAGATGACAAATATGTCAAAATTGACGTTGACGTTTCAAACCGGAAGTGATTGTATTTCCATTAATATTAAAGTTAAATATGTCGAGTTTGGACTCATTTTAAAGGATTTTTTATGAAGTTGACAAATATGTCAAAATTAAAAGTTGAAAGTTCGAACTTTTTGGTTTTTTGAGATAAATGCGTCAAGTTTGGACTCACTTTAAAGGTTATTTTATGAAGATTACGAATATAATAATAAAATTAAAGTTGACATTGACAACTGAAAGTTTTTTTCACGACTAAACACTAGATTAACGTCAATTATAAAACTTCTATTATATGATAACTAACTTCAGGTTTAAAATGTCAACCTCAATTTTGACATATTTGTAATCTTCATTAAAAATCCTTTAAAATGAGTACAAACACGACATATTTATCTTCAATATTAATGAAGTTATGGTCAACTTCCGGTTAAGAATGTCAACGTCAATTTTGACATATTTGTAATCGTCGTGAAAAATCCTTTAAAATGAGTCCAAACATGATACGTTTAATTCCAATATTACTCGAGATATAAGCAACTTCCGGTTTGAAATGTCAATGTCATTTTGACATATTCTTAATTTTTATAAAATGTCTTAATATTTGTCACAAAAACAAAAATATAATAAAAAAAAATCAAAAATTAAGGTTGGTATTAATATTTAAAAATTAAATTGCTATCTTCATTGTTGCTAACTTCGGGTTTAATGTTTTTTATTCTAACTTTTTTGTTTTTTGAGATAAGTGCGTCATCTTTGGACTCATTTTAAAGGTTTTTTAATGAAGATGACAAATATGTCAAAATTGACGTTGACGTTTCAAACCGGAAGTGATTGTATTTCCATTAATATTAAAGTTAAATATGTCGAGTTTGGACTCATTTTAAAGGATTTTTTATGAAGTTGACAAATATGTCAAAATTAAAAGTTGAAAGTTCGAACTTTTTGGTTTTTTGAGATAAATGCGTCAAGTTTGGACTCACTTTAAAGGTTATTTTATGAAGATTACGAATATAATAATAAAATTAAAGTTGACATTGACAACTGAAAGTTTTTTTCACGACTAAACACTAGATTAACGTCAATTATAAAACTTCTATTATATGATAACTAACTTCAGGTTTAAAATGTCAACCTCAATTTTGACATATTTGTAATCTTCATTAAAAATCCTTTAAAATGAGTACAAACACGACATATTTATCTTCAATATTAATGAAGTTATGGTCAACTTCCGGTTAAGAATGTCAACGTCAATTTTGACATATTTGTAATCGTCGTGAAAAATCCTTTAAAATGAGTCCAAACATGATACGTTTAATTCCAATATTACTCGAGATATAAGCAACTTCCGGTTTGAAATGTCAATGTCATTTTGATATATTCTTAATTTTTATGAAATGTCTTAAAATTTGTCACAAAAACAAAAATATAATAACAAAAATCAAAAATTAAGGTTGGTATTAATATTTAAAAATTAAATTGTTGCTAACTTCCGGTTTAATGTTTTTTACTCTAACTTTTTTGTTTTTTGAGATAAATACGTCATGTTTGGGCTCATTTTAAAGGTTATTTTATAAAGATTACGAATATAATAATAAAATTAAAGTTAACATTAACACCTGAAAATTTTTTTTATTGATTTTATTTTTCCAGTTAAAATTAACGATGTTAATCATTAAAAATTTAAACTTGCTTTTAGGAATCGACGAAAAACATCTTATTAAGTCACATCACCAACCAAAACGTGACCTTTACAAGAACACATAAAACGAAAAGTAATGTTTTAATACGATTTAAATCTTGAATTAATTTCAAATCAAAATTTTAGCTCAAATTTACCAATGGAAACACGGTTTATTACAAGGCGACCATTTCTCGGGGGTTTTGTGTAACCTTTACATGTCTTACAAAGATTCCATTATCCTTTCTGATTTATTATTGGATAGAAACAATTTTATTCATCGTACAACCGATGATTACATCTTCGTATCGATTAATAAAGAAAATGTGGCAACGTTCTTTAATAAAATGAAATTTGAGTACGTTCTAAAACTTTCCAAGGTTTTAACGAACGTTGAAATATCAAAGAATAGATTTAAAAAGGATTCTCCGAATTACCCAACGAGCGATAAAATATATTATTGTGGGTTAATTATAGATACAAACACGAAAGAAGTTTTACCCAATTTTAACGTAATTCCAAAAATGAGTTTGCACGGGAAATTTCAAATTTGGAATCGGAATTATTTGGTGCATCAAAAATAGTGGGTTAATTAAATTTAAAAAAATGATTTTAAAACAATTCCTTTTTTTAGTTTCTTAATAAAATCGATGCGATATTTCTATAACAATAATTATTTCAAACGAACCTTCATGAATGGGTTTTACAACAAACCAACGACGATACTCGATAGTTATTTTAAAGCCATGGTTAATTTGGCGTTTAAATTCGATTTAGCCGTTGAGGCGATTTATAATCGAAAATCAATTAACGATTATGGCCAAGTAATAGGACAAGTTGTTCTTATTTACGCTGGAAAAACTTTAAGAACAATATCGAGGTACTCGAATAAACATACAAATGAGTTCAAAATTACGTTTGAAATGTTGGTGAAGGTCGGATATTGCGCGTTTTATGTTGTTTTACGAAAACGGAATGCGATTTATGATAAAATTATTGGGGAAATAAGAAGAATTAATAAGAAAATTTTTATCGGGGGTGAATTTAACGTTAAGAAGTTTCTAAAATTACCTAAAGATTTTGAGGGAGTTCGTAAGATTATTTTTTTAAGACTCATTTTAATAATTTAATTGTTATTAATTTTTAGGAATGGCGAGAACGGTTCATATACGTACTCAATAACTTTATAATTTCATTTCGCTTTAATTTAAATAAATTAAAAATAAAAATTACTTACTTTTTATAACCTCAAAACATTTTTGAATCTTTTCGATGATTTTCTTCAAATTTCCGCTTCACCTGTAACGAAAATGAATTAAATTGAATCAATTAATGTTAATTAATTAATATTTATCACCCAAAACTTTAATTTAAACAACAATAACAATTTTATTTGTTTATAATCGCTTTTCATAAGCGCCTCTTGCGGAAATTACGTGAACCTAGTGTAATGTTGGTTGCATAGTCAAAAATATTTTTAATTTATAAACAAATAAATCATATTAAAATAAACAAATCATGCATAATATGATTTTAAAATAAATAAAATTAACATTGAATTTTAATTAAAATAAAAAATTACTTACTTTTTATAACCTTAACAAATATTTGGTACTTTTCGATGGTTTTCTTCTTATTTCCGGTTCACCTGTAACGAAAATAAGTTAAATTAAATCAATGAATGCTAATTAATTAATAATTATCGCTCAAAACGTTAATTTGAACCACAATACCAATTTTACTTGTTTACAATTGCTTTTTATAAGCGCCACACGCGGAATTTAATTGAACCTAGTGCAATGTTGGTTGCATAATCAAATATAAATTTAATTTATTAGCAAGTAAATCATATTAAAATAAAGAAATCATGCATAATATAGTTTTAAAACAATTAAATTTGTTTAAAACAAATAAATTTAACATCGATTTTCAATTAAAATAAAAAATTACTTGCATTTGATAACCTCAAAATGTTTTTGATACTTTTCGATCGTTTTCTTCTAAGTTCCGGATCACTTGTAATGAGAATGAGTTAAATTAAATTAATTAATGTTAATTAACTAATGATTATGACCCAAAACATTAATTTAAACAACAATAACAATTTTATTTGTTAACGAGCCCTTTCTATAAGCGCCACTCGCGGAATTTAATTGAACCTAATGTAATGCTGGTTGCATAATCAAAAATAAATTTAATTTATTAACGAATAAATCATATTAAAATGAAGAAATCATGCATAATATGATTTTAAAATAAATAAAATTAACATTGAATTTTAATTAAAATAAAAAATTACTTACTTTTTATAACCTCAAAAAATTTTTGGTAATTTTCCATGATTTTGTTCTAACTTTTAGTTCACCTGTAACGAAAATGAGTTAAATTAAATCAATTAATGTTAACTAATTAATAATTATCACTCAAAACGTTAATTTGAACCACAATAATAATTTTACTTGTTTACAACTGCTTTTTATAAGCGCCACTCGCGGAATTTAACTGAACCTAATGTAATGTTGGTTGCATAATCAAAAATAAATTTAATTTATTAACAAGTAAATCATATTATGCATGAATATGATTTTAAAATAAATAAATTTGTTTAAAACAAATAAATTTAACACAGAATTTCAATTAAAGCAACAAATTACTTACTTTTTATAACCTCAAAATATATTTGATACTTTTCGATGATTTTTTTTCTAACTTCCGGTTCACCTGTAACGAAAATGAGTAAAATTAAATCAATTGATGCCAAGTAATTAATAATTATCGGCCAAAACTTTAATTGAAACAACAATAAATATTTTATTTGTTTAAAAAAGCGTTTTATAAGCGCCACTCGCGGAAACTACGTGAACTTACTGTAATGTTGGTTGCATAATCAAACATAAATTTGATTTGTATACGAATAAATCGTATTAAAATAGAAAAATCATGCATAATACGGTTTTAAAATAAAGAAATTTGTTTAAATCAAATAAATTTAACATCAAATTTTAATTAAAATAAAAAATTACTTACTACTTATAACCTCGAAACATTTTTGATACTTTTCGATCATTTTCTTCTCACTACCGGTTCACCTGGAACGAAAATGAGTTAAATTAAATCAATTAGTATTAATTAATTAATAATTATCATTTAACACAGTAATTTAAACAACAATAACAATTTTATTTGTTAAATATCGTTTTTTATAAGCGCCACTCGCGGAGTTTAATTGAACCTAATGTAATGTTGGTGGCATAATCAAAAATAATTTTAATTTATAAACAAATAAATCATATTAAAATAAGGTTTTAAAACAAATATGATAATTAAAAAAAAATAAATTTGATTATAACAAATAAATTTAACGTACATTTCAATCTTTAAAATTTAAAAAAAAGAAAATTATAATTGCGCCCCCTATCGGAGATGTGTTAAATTAGCATAAACAAAATTGGTTGCATAACTTATTTCAATAAATTTTTTAATAACAATTATTTATTATTAATAATAATAAAATTTTTAATATATATAATTCATTTTGTACTACAATTTTCTACAAAACACCAAATAATTACAACCCTTGTTGAAAATTAAGAGTCTTATTAGTTTCTAAAATCTCACTTTGCATATCCAATGCGATTTTTTTATATTTTTCAGCTAACTCCGCGTTTTTACCAACCCCTAAAATAAAATCACCTCATTTAACATCAAAACCACCTCAAACATACCTAATTACCATCTCCCTTTGAATACATTTGGCTCAAATTAATACAACAATAAACATTTCCCAAATTACAACCATGCAAAGCATATTTATAGGCTTGATTCATATCTTTTGGGATAATATATTTATCAGAATCATTTTTTTGTGATTTCTTTTCATTATTTTTACCATCTTTAAGTCCACTGATGTGAAAACCGGACGCGTAATAACAAGCGTGTGCGTTATCGGCATCACAAGCTTTTTCTAAAAGTCTCATTCCTTTCGATGGATCATCCACGATCCCACATTTCTCAGAATGTGATAATAAAAGTAATCCTTCATGTAAGCACCCCTCGGGGATTCCATCGTCGCAAGCTTTTTTTAAGTATTCGTATCCTTTTTTAAAATCTTCTTTTTGACCCCCTTTTCCTAGGAGGGCGTACGATCCAAATTTTAAACAACTTTTTCCGTATTTGTAATCATCGCAATTACTTTTATAAACTTTCACGGCCTTTTCGTAATCTTTTTTGACCGCCTCTAAGTAATCACCAAGCAAGTGGCACACTAAAAAACGGAATTCGTTTTTGATGTGATTTTATAGGTTATGGGAGAAATGAGGTTAGTTTTACCTTCCGGGTTTTTTTCGCTGTAACAACCAAAACGGTATTCAATACCGAGGTTATTGAGGAATTCTTTTACATCCGTTTCCGATTTAAAGTCTAATGCCATTATTAATTCGAGATTTTCGGTGCTTTTTTGAAAGAAACTATTTTGAGGTTAATTGGAATTTGGTGACTTTTTTGTTTGTGGGTTTGCGGTTTTCTTTGCTTATTAATTGTTGTGTGGTTAATTATTAATAAAAAAATTAATTTATTGATAAATTTCGATTAAATAAATCAATAATTAAATTAAATTAACCTAAAACAACGATTTTTACTAAATTCTAAAATTACGTTGGCACCCCTAATCCGATTTGACATTTCTGACTTTATCAAAACATTATTAATTGCAACTAAATATATTAATTTTTTTAATTATTATTAATTTAAATTGAATTTCCGCGTAAATACGCTTATTATAACCTATAATGGGAGATACATCAACGGTAATTATCGTCTTTGCGATCTAAAAATAACTCGAATAACACATAACCTCAAAAAAAAATTATTTTGTAGATTAAACATGATTGGTATCAAACAGATTCAACCGTAGTAATCACCGTATTAATTAAGAACGTTCAAAAAGAGAATTTGAGTATAAATTTCGGGGGAAAATGCGTCGAAATTTGCATCAAAAGCGAAGATGCGGAACATAACCTCAAATACGATTTATCCCACGTTATTATTCCCCAACAAAGTAGCTATAAACTTACACCTTCTAAGGTAAATTAAAGGTTATTTCTTAATTAATCGCTTAAAACGATGTTTTTAGATCGAAATTAAGTTAATAAAGCTTGATGGGATAAGATGGAGTAAGCTTGAAGGCGAACCGGAAGTTGTTGAGGCGAAAATGAAGGTGGTGGAGGTTGAGGAAGGTGCTTCTAGTGGCCCCCCGCGTTACCCCACGTCTATGAAGGGGAAAGATTGGGGTGCCATTGAAAAATCGATTAAGGAACAAGAAAAGAATGAAAAACCGGAAGGTGATGAGGCTTTAAATAAGTTATTTCAAGACCTTTATAGTAAAGGAAGCGACGAGGTTAAAATGGCTATGAATAAGAGTTTTCTTGAAAGCGGCGGTACGGTTCTTAGCACTAATTGGGATGAAATTAAGAAAGAGAAGGTTCCGATTAAACCCCCGGATGGCATGGAATGGAAAAAATGGAATTAAAATATTGTAATGTTTTGTGAATTCAATAAAAAATGCTGTATCGTTTAATTCCATTTCTTTAAAACATGAAAATTTAGAGAAATAAGTCAGCTGTCAAAAATTTTACATTACCAACATAAAAATTTAAAAAATCACTAAGATTTGACATCACGATAAATGACATTTTTTTTTTGTGAAAACTTGCTTTAATTCACTTTAATTTAAATAAATAATTGTAGATGAAGGTAATTTTAATTAAAAAATTATAATTATATAATTTTAGTACGTTCAAAATAATAAAGAAGGCCGATAACGATTAATTTAATAAAAGATTACTTACCTTTTATAACCTCAAAATATTTTTGATAAATTTCGATGATTTTCTTCTAATTTCTGGCTCACCTGTAACAAAAATGAGTTAAATTAAATCAATTAATGTTAATTAATAATTATCACCCAAAACTTAAATTTAAACAACAATAACAATTTTATATGTTTACAATCGCTTTTTATAAGCGCCACTCGCGGAAATATATTGAAGTTAATGTAATGCTGGTTGCATAATCAGCATTAAATTTAATGAACAAATAAATCAAATTAAAATAAAGATATCATGCATAATACGATTTTAAAACAAATAAATTTGTTTATAACAAATAAATTTAAGATCCTATTTCAATTTAAATAAAAAATTGCTTACATTTTATAACCTCAAATTGTTTTTGATACTCTTCCATCATTTTCTTCTAACTTTCGGTTCACCTGTAACAGAAATGAGTTAAATTAAATCAATTAATGTTAATTAATTAATAATTATCACTTAAAACTTTAATTTAAACAATAATAATTTTATTTGTTTAAAATCGTTATTTATAAGCGCCCCTTGCAGAAATATATTGAACCTAACGTAATGTTGGTTGCATAATCAAAATTAAATTTAATCTAAAAACAAAAATTCATATTAAAATGAAGATACGATTTTAAAACAAATAAATTTGTTTATAACAAATAAATTTAACATCCTATTTCAATTTAAATAAAAAATTGCTTACATTTTATAACCTCAAAGTGTTTTTGATACTTTTCCATCATTTTCTTCTAACTTTCGGTTCACCTGTAACAGAAATAAGTTAAATTAAATCAATTAATGTTAATTAATAATGATCACTTAAAACTTTCATTTAAAGAACAATAACAATTCTATTTGTTTAAAATCGTTATTTATAAGCGCCACTTGCGGAAATATATTGAACCTAACGTAATGTTGGTTGCATAATCAAAATTAAATTTAATCTAAAAACAAATAATTCATATTACAATGAAGATACGATTTTAAAACAAATAAATTTGTTTATAACAAATAAATTTAACATCCTATTTCAATTTAAATAAAAAATTGCTTACATTTTATAACCTCAAATTGTTTTTGATACTTTTCGATCATTTTCTTCTAACTTCCGGCTCATCTGTAATGAAAATGAGTTAAATTAAATCAATTAATGTTAATTAATTAATAATTATCACTTCAAACTTTAATTTAAACAACAATAACAATTTTATTTGTTTAAAATCGTTATTTATAAGCGCCGCTTGCGGAAATATATTGAACCTAACGTAATGTTGGTTGCATAATCAAAAATAAATTTATTCTATAAACAAATAATTCATATTAAAATGAAGATATGATTTTAAAACAAATAAATTTGTTTATAACAAATAAATTTAAGATCGAATTTCAATTAAAATAAAAAATTACTTACATTTTATAACCTCAAAGTGTTTTTGACACTTTTCGGTCATTTTCTTCTAACTTCCGGTTTAGCTGTGACGAAAATGAGTTAAATTAAATCAATTAAAGTTAATTAATTAATAATTATCGCCTAAAATTTAATTTAAACAACAATAACAATTTTATTTGTTTACATTCGCTTTTTATAAGCGCCTCTCGCGGAAATAAATTGAACCTAATGTAATGTTGGTTGCATAATCAAAAATGAATTTAATTTATAAACAAACAATTCATATTAAAATAAAGAAATTATACGTAATATGATTTTAAAATACATAAATTTGTTTGTAACAAATAAATTTAACATAAATTTCAATTTTAATTTACAAAATTAAAAATAAAAAATAGATAACAGCGCCACCTATAGGAAATTTGTTAAGTTAATATAAACAACATTGGTTGCATAACTTATTTCAATAAATTGTTTTAAAAACAATTATTTATTGTTAATAATAATAAAACTTTTTTTAAACATCATATAATTAAAACTTTTGTTGAAAATTAAGAGTCTTATTAGTCTCTAAAATCTCACTTTGCATCTCCAATCCGTTTTTTTTATATTTTTCGGCTAACTCACCCTTTTAAAACCAACATCAAACATACGTTATTATCATCGTTTTGCAAATTCAATAAAAAATGCTGTATCGTTTTATTGTGTATATTATTTTTCTTTAAAACTTGAAAAATTAGTTTTCCCAAATGAAAGTCAGCTGTTAAAAATGTTACCAAAAACATTACCAACATAAAAATTTCAAAACTCACTAAAATTTGACACATCACGATAAATGTTGTTCTTTTAGTGAAAACTTACTTTAATTTAAATAAATAATGGTAGATGAAGGTACAAGAAAAACTTTAAGCAGCATTCCCCTTTTACAAACGAAGGCGGGCCCCCGCGAAAAAGATTTATGGGTGCAACGGTTAAAAGAAGAGTACCAAAGCTTAATAAAAGTGAGATAACCTCAAAATAATCAACATATGTTTTAATTTAAATTAAATTATAATTTTAGTACGTTCAAAATAATAAAGCGGCCGATAACGATTGGTTTAGGTTAGAATCGAATAAAGAAGGTACCAAGTGGTTCGGGAAGTGTTGGTTCATTCACGAGTTATTAAAATACGAATTCGATGTTGAATTTGATGTAAGTTTAATGCTAAATTGATTCAGGTTTTCATTAAAGAATTAGATTCCAGTTACGTACCCGATGACGGCCCCTGAGATTGCTCTTCCTGAGCTCGATGGGAAAACTGCAAAGATGTATCGGGGGGGAAAAATATGTCTTAGCGATCATTTTAAACCGTTATGGGCGAGGAATGTTCCCAAATTTGGAATTGGGCACGCGATGGCTTTAGGGGTGAGTTTATAGTTAATGAATATTAATTTCTTACCTTATATTAATTAAAATAAACACTAATTAACACTTCTAAATCAAAACTTTAACTTGAAGTTAGTAACTAATTCATTTTGACGTTTTATTACCAACTTAAAATAATTTAATGTTTTAGTTAGGACCTTGGTTAGCAGTGGAAATCCCGGATTTAATCGCAAAAGGGGTCGTTTCCTACAAAGAAAAGGAAGAAAAATGAAATTTTTATATATAAAAAACTATATTTTGTATTTATAACAATTAAAACACTAAAATTGTGCAAGTTAATAAATTTGAAAAAATAATATTTTTTGTAATTAAAATCTCTTTATTAAGTATTTTCGCCTGTAATGAAAATGAGTTAAATTAAATCAATTAATGTTAATTAATTTGTTAACAACAATAATTTTATTACTTTAAAAGCCCTTTTCATAAGCGCCACTCGCGGAATTTAATTGAACCTAATGTAATGTTGGTTGCATAATCAAAAATAAATTTAATTTATAAACAAATAAATCATTAAAAATAAAGAAATCATACATAATATGATTTTGAAATAAATACATTTGTTCAAAATAAATAAATTTAATATCAAATTTCAATTAAAATAAAAAAATTACTTACTTTTTATAACCTCAAAGTGTTTTTGATACTTTTCGATCATTTTCTTCTACCTTCCGGTTCACTTGTAACGAGAATGAGTTAAATTAAATCAATTAATGTTAATTAACTAATAATTCTGACCCGAAACTTTGGTTTAAGCAACAACAATAATTTTATTTGATTACAACGGTTTTTTATAAGCGCCACTCGCAGAATTTGATTGAACTTAATGTAATGTTGGTTGCATAACCAAAAATAAATTTAATTTATAAACAAATAAATCATTAAAATAAAGAAATCATACATAATATGATTTTGAAATAAATAAATTTGTTTAAATCAAATAAATTTAACATAGAATTTCAATTAAAATAAAAAATTACTTACATGTTATAACCTCAAAGTGTTTTTGATACTTTTCGATCATTTTCTTCTAACTTCTGGTTCACCTGTAACGAAAACGAATTAAATTAAATCAATTAATGTTAATTAACTAATAATTATGACCCAAAACTTTAATTTAAGCAACAACAATAATTTTATTTGATTACAATGGTTTTTTATAAGCGCCACTCGCGGAATTTAATTGAACTTAATGTAATGTTGGTTGCATAATCAAAAATAAATTTAATTTATAAACAATTAAATCATTAAAATAATGAAATCATACATAATATGATTTAAAAATAAATTTCTTTAAAACAAATAAATTAAGATCGAATTTCAATTAAAATAAAAAATTACTTACTTTTTATAATCTAAAAATGTTTTTAAACAATTTTATTTGTTTATAAATCGCTTTTTATTAGCGAGTTAATAACAAATATCTTACCTTATAGTTGAGATAAACACAATTTATTAACACATTTATAACATTCTAAATCAAAACTAACTTGAAGTTAGTAACTAATTAATTTTGACGTTTTATTACCAACTTAAAACAATTTAAGTTGGTTTATTTAATGTTTTAGTTAGAACCTTGGTGGAACTTGATCACTAGAACTATCACAAGATCTAAAACTAGAATCGAAAACCCAAAAAGTTAGGTTAAGAATTTAAAAAATTCACTATTTTGTTTGTTCTTTTGAGGTAAGTTTTATTTTTACATAAATAGGTCGAGTTTGGTCTTATTTTAAAGAATTTTTGATTTCCTTTACGATGCGTTAAGTATAATTTGACGCCAAACTTGAAAAAAATTAAAAACTGTCAAATGTCAAAATCGAATATAATTATTTTTTGATAGATATTGTTATAATCTTATTAAGCAAGAAATATGGTTTAATTTGATACTAAATTCGACCTATTTAGGTTAAAAACTGAAAAAATTAAGTTAGAAACTGTCAAATGTCAAAAATCGAATTTAATTATTTTATGATAAATGTTGAAATAATCGTAATAAGAATCAAAAAGCTTTTAATTTAATACCAAACATGACCTATTTAGGATTTTTAATTTCTTTTATGATGAAATTGGTTAGAAACGATTTTAAAATATTAAAAAATTAATAAAGAATACATTTTGAAGGTGTAAAATGTCAACCTCAATTTTGACATATTTGTAATCTTCATTAAAAATCCTTTAAAATGAGTACAAACACGACATATTTATCTTCAATATTAACGAAGTTATGGTCAACTTCCGGTTAGAAATGTCAACCTCAATTTTGACATATTTGTAATCGTCGTGAAAAATCCTTTAAAATGAGCCCAAACATGATATGTTTAATTTCAATATTACTCGAGATATAAGCAACTTCCGGTTTGAAATGTCAATGTCATTTTGATATATTCTAAAAAATTTGTCACAAAAATAAAAATATAATAAAAAAATCACAAATTAAGGTTGGTATTAATATTTAAAAATTAAATTGCTATCTTCGTTGTTGCTAACTTCCGGTTTAATGTTTTTTATTCTAACTTTTTTGTTTTTTGAGATAAGTGCGTCATGTTTGGGCTCATTTTAAAGGTTATTTTGAAAAGATTACGAATATAAAATTAAAATTATATGTACATAAGCGACTTTATTACCAACTTAAAATAATTTAATTTATTTTAGTTAGGACCTTGGGAAATCCCGGATTTAATCGCAAAAGGAGTCGTTTCGTACAAAGAAAAGGAAGAAAAATGATTTTTTTATATAAAAAACTATATTTTATATTTATAACAATTAAAACGCTCTAAAATTGGGGCAAGTTAATAAATTAAAAAAAATAATACTTCTTTTTAATTAAAATCTCTTTACTAAGCATTTTCCATTAAATTCTTAGTTAATCCATTCTCCGTTTTATCCTCATCCTCTTTCCCAGCACGATTCTTAATAATCGCCTTTTTATTATCATTTTTCTTCTTTTTCTTAGCCAATAAATAAACGGTGTTTTCTCGGAAATAATCGACGATATCCGACAACTTTTTTCCATGAGTTTCCGGTTGGAAAATAAACGAATAAATCAATCCAGCCAAGGCCATAACGGCGAAGAAAAATTGCACCCCCGCTGCACCCCCAAATAATCTCTCCAACGGGTAATAACTTTGAATTGCAACAAACATCAACGAATTAGCTATGCTGTATGATAAGCTTTGCGCGACCCCTCGTATTTCTAAGGGAAATAATTCGGCTGTCATCGTCCAAGGAATTGGTAATAACCCGATCATTGAAGTGATTACATAAAAAACTAATAAAATAACCGGAATCCATTTCATTAAAGAATTCCCATCGCTTTTTCCATACATTGTGTATAAACCGGAAATAAACATACAAATAGACATCCCTATACAGCTGGTCATAACGAGGGGGCGACGTTGAAATCGACGCAACATATACGTGTTAATTAATGACATAAGAAAACGAACGGTTCCAAGGAAAATCGAGGCTAAATACGGATTCAAAGATTGATCAACTTTTTTGAAAAATTGAATCGCGTAAAACAACATGATGTAGATCCCAGAGAACTGTTGGAAAAAAAAGAGACCAAACAATAAACTTAACGGTTTATAAGTAGTCGGTTTTGCAAGTTCCTTAAAGACGGATGTCTTTTTTGACGTCGAAGCTTCCTCTTTCTTTTTTCGATCTTCTTTTACAAGTACAGCTAAGTGCAATTCGGCCATTGTTTGCATCTAATAACAATAATAATTAATTTTTTAATATTATAATATAGTATATGTGAGTAGAATACTATACTTTGTCCACGACTACCATTGAAATTGATTCCATAAATTTATTTTTTTAAATAAACAATAATAATTATAATTTTATGTGAAAGAGGAGAAAATTTCGTGAATTTTGATACCAAACACGACCCATTTACTGCTATAAACAAAAATGTTGCTAATAGTTAAAATAAAAACAAAATGGCGGCTTCAAAATCAAAAATTAACCGTTTTTGGAGATAAATATGGCGTGTTTGGTATCAAATTAAAGCAAATTTAGTTTCATAAACGATTTTGATAATAAAAACATTAATTTTGTTTCAATTATAAAATTTTCGTGGAATTAATTGATTAATAAATTTGAGAAAATCAATCAGAAGGTGCTTTATCGTGAAAGAGGAGAAAATTTCGTGAATTTTGATACCAAACACGACCCATTTACTGTTATAAACAAAAATGTTGCTAATAGTTAAAATAAAAACAAAATGGCGGCTTCAAAATCAAAAATTAACCGTTTTTGGAGATAAATATGGCGTGTTTGGTATCAAATTAAAGCAAATTTAGTTTCCTAAACGATTTTGATAATAAAAACATTAATTTTGTTTCAATTATAAAATTTTCGTGGAATTAATTGATTAATAAATTTGAGAAAATCAATCAGAAGGTGCTTTATCGTGAAAGAGGAGAAAATTTCGTGAATTTTGATACCAAACACGACCCATTTACTGTTATAAACAAAAATGTTGCTAATAGTTAAAATAAAAACAAAATGGCGGCTTCAAAATCAAAAATTAACCGTTTTTGGAGATAAATATGGCGTGTTTGGTATCAAATTAAAGCAAATTTAGTTTCCTAAACAATTTTGATAATAGAAACATTAATTTTGTTTCAATTATAAAATTTTCGTGGAATTAATTCATTAATAAATTTGAGAAAATCAACCAGAAAATGCTTTAACGTGAAAGGGGAAAAAATTTCGTGAATTTTGATACCAAACACGACCTATTTACTGTTATAAACAAAGATGTTGCTAATAATTAAAATAAAAACAAAATGGCGGCTTCAAAATCAAAAATTAACCGTTTTTTGAGATAAATATGGCGTCTTTGGTATCAAATTAAAGCAAATTTAGTTTCCTAAACGATTTTGATAATAAAAACATTAATTTTGTTTCAACTATAAAATTTTTGTTGAATTAATTCATTAATAAATTTGAAAAAAACAACTGTAACATGCTTTATCGTGAAAGAGGAGATATTTTCGTGAATTTTGATACCAAAGTCGACCCATTTACTGTTATAAACAAAAATGTTGCTAATAGTTAAAATAAAAACAAAATGGCGGCTTCAAAATCAAAAATTAACCGTTTTTGGAGATAAATATGGCGTGTTTGGTATCAAATTAAAGCAAATTTAGTTTCCTAAACGATTTTGATAATAAAAACATTAATTTTGTTTCAATTATAAAATTTTCGTGGAATTAATTGATTAATAGATTTGAGAAAATCAATCAGAAGGTGCTTTATCGTAAAGGAGGAGAAAATTTCGTGAATTTTGATACCAAACATTAACTATTTACGAAACTTAAGCTATTAAAAACAAAATGGCGGCGTTTTTATTGATTTGCTAACCTAACTTTTTTAAAAACATTAATTTTGTTTCATTTAAAAAATATTCGTACAATTAATTAATTAATTAACTTAAGAAAATCGATCAAAAAGTGTTTTAGCGTAATAGAGAAGAAAATTTCGTAAATTTTGATACCAATTATTTATGACAATATTAAAATTTAGCAAAATGGCGGCGTTTTTGTTGATTATAACCTAACTTTTTTTAATTTTTACCGAAAATGTTTCGTGTTTGGTATCAAATTATAGGAAATTAAATCTAGATTTCGAATTTGACGTCGAAATCAAATTATTTTTTAAAATTTCTTTACTACAAAACTTTTCTTTTTCTACAATTATTTATAAAAAATAGTATATTATTATACGAGCATATAATGAGGGCTATTATTCAATTAGTATATTAATTTATACTCCTCGATTTAGATTTAACTCTTTGACGTGCGACATAACCTCAAAAATATCTAGTTTTAGCTTTATTTTTAACGCAAAATGAGTTGAATACATTTTTTTTATTAAAATGTATAAATACAATTTCATTTGACAGTGAGGTTAGGTTGTGTTATTAAAGTGAGGTTAGGAATCTTCAACGTCGAAGAACTTTCGAAGACATCGGCCATCCCAGACGCTACAACATTAAGAATGTTGAGTTCTTGGGGGCGGCCGGTGTCTTCGAAAACGGCCGTGTTAGTNTAAACGATTTTGATAATAAAAACATTAATTTTGTTTCAATTATAAAATTTTCGTGGAATTAATTGATTAATAAATTTGAGAAAATCAATCAGAAGTTGCTTTATCGTGAAAGAGGAGAAAATTTCGTGAATTTTGATACCAAACATGACCTATTTACTGTTATAAACAAAAATGTAGCTAATAGTTAAAATAAAAACAAAATGGCGGCTTCAAAATCAAAAATTAACCGTTTTTGAGATAAACACGGCGTGTTTGGTATCAAATTAAAACAAATTTAGTTTCCTAAACGATTTTGATAACAAAAATATTAATTTTGTTTCAATTATAAAATTTTCGTGGAATTAATTCATTAATAAATTTGAGAAAAACAATCAGAAAATGCTTTAACGTGAAAGGGAAGAAAATTTCGTGAATTTTGATACCAAACACGACCTATTTACTGTTATAAACAGAAATGTTGCTAATAGTTAAAATAAAAACAAAATGGCGGCTTCAAAATCAAAAATTAACTGTTTTTGGAGATAATTATGGCGTGTTTGGTATCAAATTAAAGCAAATTTAGTTTCCTAAACGATTTTGATAATAAAAACATTAATTCTGTTTCAATTATAAAATTTTCGTGGAATTAATTGATTAATAAATTTGAGAAAATCAATCAAAAGGTGCTTTGTCGTAAAGGAGGAGAAAATTTCGTGAAGTTTGATACCACACATTAACTATTTACGAAACTTAAGCTACTAAAAACAAAATGGCGGCACTTTTATTGATTTGCTAACCTACCTTTTTTGATTTTTATTGTAAATAGTTCGAGTTTGGTGTCAAATTGAAGCAAATTTTATTTCCGAAACGATTTTGATAATAAAAACATTAATTTTGTTTCAATTATAAAATTTTCGTGGAATTAATTGATTAATAAATTTGAGAAAATCAACCAGAAAGTGCTTTATCGTGAAAGAGGAGAAAATTTCGTGAATATTGATACCAAACAATATATTAGTATATTACAGTATATTATTATACGAGCATATAATGAGGGCTATTATTCAATTAGTATATTAATTTATACTCCTCGATTTAGATTTACCGTATTTTCTCGAATCTAATCCGCAGCCTTTTTACAAATTTTGTATGCTCTAAAATCAAATGCGGATTACAATCGGATGTGGATTACATTGGAAAACCAACTTTTTTTACCATCATTGCATTTTTAAAATCGAGGTGCGGATTAGATTCGAGAAAATACGGTAACTCTTTGACGTACGACATAACCTCAAAAATTTCTAGTTTTAGCTTTATTTTTAACGCAAAATGAGTTGAATACATTTTTTTTTATTAAAACGTAAAAATACAATGTCATTTGACAGTGAGGTTAGGTTGTGTTATTAAAGTGAGGTTAGGAATCTTCAACGTCGAAGAACTTTCGAAGACATCGGCCATCCCAGACGCTACAACATTAAGAATCTTGAGTTCTTGGGGGCGGCCGATGTCTTCGAAAACGGCCGTGTTAGTNAATGTCATTTGACAGTGAGGTTAGGTTGTGTTATTAAAGTGAGGTTAGGAATCTTCAACGTCGAAGAACTTTCGAAGACATCGGCCATCCCAGACGCTACAACATTAAGAATGTTGAGTTCTTGGGGGCGGCCGGTGTCTTCGAAAACGGCCGTGTTAGTTTAAAACTGTGCTGGGGGGAAATGTGTTATTTTTGTCCCAACCTCACTTTTCCAAGTGTTTATTTTAAATATAATTAAAAATTTATTTTACTCACTCAATGCGTCCTCGAAGATTTTCTTTCATGTTAGCGATTCATAAAAAGCGATCTCGCTTGAAACAGCCACAAAAAATAAACTCACAAGATACGAAATGTTAATTCAATCCAACCTAACCTCACTTTTTCAAGTGACGTTTATCACAACCGTTACTGCCGATCTAATAAGAAATAAAACTAAAACTAGAAATATTGAGGTTATAACCCTAAAATTGAAGTGCGTCTTTGACGCACGGCATAACCCTAAAATTGAAGTGCGTCTTTGACGCACGGCATAACCCTAAAATTTCTAGTTTTAGTTTTATTTCTAACGCAAAATGAGCTAAATAAATTTCTTTTAATGAAACGTCAAAAAATGTCACTTTAAGACGCATAGGAGATAGCGCACCTGTCGAAAAGTTTTAAAATATACGTTTGTAACTATCTTCACATCATGTCAAATATTTTAACCTAATTTAGAACCATGATAAACACGAATTACTATTTGATTTTTTTTAATAACGTAAAACGAGCTTCTATGACGCAAATTTCTTTTTAGTTTTAAATCTAAAACTGAGTGAGTTAAATAATTTTTTTTAATAAAACGTCAAAAAAGTGTTATTTGAAAAAGTGAGGTTAGGTTGTGTTGGAAAAGTCAAGGTTTGTAAAGCGTATGGTACAATACACTTTACAAACCTTGGGAAAAGTGTGATTAAAAATCCCTAACATCATTTTCTAGTACATTTTACGTTACACCAATTGAACCGTTGTTATATTTAAGTTGATCTTGTGTATTATTGTGAGTGTTTAATAATAGTTATTAGTGAATAATAGCCCTCATTGTATGCTCATATAATAATATACTATTTTTTAAATCAATTTTTTCATAAAGTTTAAACGTCAATGTGACACAAATTCAATGTTACCAACTGTAATCAACTTCACAACAATTTGTCAAAATTAAATGTCAATTTTATGAAATGTCTGTTTTTTTTTAAGAAAATTAATTAATTTATGCTTATTAAATCATACGAAAAATTAAATTAAATTGACGTTTTTTGAAATTTTGACGTTTCGTATATATTATAAGGTAGTCGTGGACAAACTAATTATTATTTTACCCTATCTTGTGGTTTCGGATGATACTTATGAATCCATTGTAACGATTTCCTCGCCTGCTCAATTCGGCCCTTACTAATCAGCCAAACCGGACTTTCCGGTATTAACATAATCAAAAAGCAGGGGGCGATCGTGAGAGCGGTACAAACCCACGACAAAGTCCGCCAGTCCATGAACCACCCCATAAAATAAACCAGTACCATTCCCAAAGAAGCGTAAGCCGGTGCTGAGGAGATTAATGACCCCCTCATATCAGCCCTGGCTATTTCCGTTATGTAAACAATAGCCGGACTCGTACCAAAAGCTAAAAAAACAACAATATAACACTAATTTATAAATTATAAGGTTATTTACATCCGGCTAATCCAGTTAATAATCTTCCCACGAGAATCATTGGAATATTTTGGGCTGTTGCGATTAAAATCCATCCGATTGTCACTGGTAATGTTGTTAATTTTAGGGTGTTTAATCTTCCAAGAGAATCCATTACGAATCCGCATGCTATTGATGCAACGGGGACGACGATTACAATAATACTGGCTGGAATAAATAAAAAAAAATTCTAATATTTTCCATCATCGTTCCTGATCTTTATAACATCTTCTTAAAATCCTTTTTTAATTTGTTATGAACGTCAATTGGATATCAAGAACAGATGATAGGCCTTAGGCTAATGTGGATAATATTTTAAGTACATCGCCGAGCAGTTTTCTCATCTGTCAAAAGCAAAATTGACAGAAAACTGCTTTGTTGGACCTAATATACGCAAAATTGAAGTCCGATTCCAACTTTGAATCACTAATGATAATAATTAAGAGATAAGTTTGGTTATTGTTCAAGCAGATTGTCACTAAGTTCTTAGATAGCACAAAAAGTATCTATTATTTATGTTTGGCGAATTAATACTAACTAGAAGAAAATATTTTAGATTTTGTAACACATCGTAGTACAGTTAGGTACGTCTTGTCATGTCCTACATGAACAGCAATTGTGTCCATACCATTTGTTGAGAATACAAGAATTAAAAATTACTGATCATCCGTTGCAAAAACAGTGTTGCCATACTACGGTGGAAAAATGTATGACTGATGCTGCATTTTAAGAAAATACCACTTTTTACAAATCACCATTAATTTGAGAAATGCTGAAGAATAACTGTACTGAAGAAAATCCAGATCTCATGCTACGTTAAGTAATAATTTGACAGATTTCTTTTAAACGAACTTAAATCTTTTTGTGAATAACTCGAAAACGAAGCATCTAATCAAAAATTTGTAAGAGTAAAAATAATTTCAAAATGACATAGGCTTTTAGAATCAGTTCAAAAGTATTAAGGAAATAACCTTGGTGAACACCTGTATGGCATTGAACCCATATTTGTATATTTTCAAAAGTGATCTTACCATCTTTCTAAGACGAACCATATTGAAAATATTTAAGAAAATGCTTAAACATTTCTTAACTTTGATGGTATCTTAGCCATTTATGGGTTTAGACCAAAAATTTTTACACAAAACGTCAGTCATCATTTTGACTCTAGTATTTGTAATTAAAATTATGCCACGACTTACAGAAACACCCTGTATTTAAAATTTAAACCGAGGTTGCTTGCGGCCGAAGCCCTAGTTACCATGCCATATCGATACAAACTTGGACATTACTATTTGATTGCCTCGGCCGCAAGCGACCTTGACTTAATTTATTTGCATTATGTGTTTCAACCTCAGTGGCAGAAAATGCATGATTCCATCTAGTTATAAGCTGAGGTCGCTTGCGGCCGAGGCATTACTTTTATAATATTTTAATAGAGCGGCTGTATCTCGACAATGGTAAGGCCTGGAGGTTTGGAAAAAAATCCTTATAGGCAAAGTGGGCAAGAGAAATAGTTGGAAATTATTTTGAAGTTCGTAATTCGACCGCTAGGGCGCGTAACTGCCATAGAGAAACATAAAATTCCCGTTATCTCAGAAAGTTAGATGGTGAGCTATAACTTTGACAACATCATTTAGTAACATGGATAATACCGCATCACTCATGTTTTAATAAATTTCCCAATATGAGGCAAATTATAATAAATAGGTATAGGAATGTTTATAGATAATTTGTAGAGAATTAAATTCCCTTTCTGACCAGCCTGTATAAGATACTCCGATACAACAAATGACAATCTATTTGACAGCATCTGAAGAGTAATCGTGCCAATGTAGATCTTTTTTAAATTTACCAAAAAAGCTTAAAACCAAAATAACTCGAAAACGAAAAAGAGTCCCTAGTCTTTTTCGTTGTCTTTTTACCAATAACTTTTATCAAAGTTAACCTATTTTTTACGTGCAATTAAACGGTGTAATAAAAACTATAGCATTCCATTTAAAATAACGAAGTCATGGTTTACTTGCGGTAGACCGGAAGTGGCGGCCTTCTTGAAAATATTTTAGATCGAAAGTTCCGATTGAACAATCCATGCTACCAAAGTTTCAAATCTCTACGAATAGTGGAACCTGAAAAAGTTCTAACGAACCAGTTACGTGAGACACCTGTATATTACCTCACTATCATGTTTAAGCCGTCTTTGGAAAAAGTGTTTGACGTTTCGGAGGCCATGTTGCAGAAACAGGTTCGAAGTGATTGACGCACGGCTTAACCAAAAACGATTTTTTGATAAATATCGAAATGATCTTAATAAGAATCAAAAATGCTTTCATTTGATACCAAATATGATATATTTGAGTTAAAAAATAAAAAATTTAGGTTAGAATCTGTCAAATGTCAAAATTAAATATAACGATGTTGTGATAAATGTCGAAATGATCTTAATAAGAATCAAAAATGCTTTAGTTTGATACCAAACATGATATAGTTGGGTTAAAAAATAAAAAAGTTAGGTTATAATCTGTCAAATGTCAAAATTAAATATAACGATTTTGTGATAAATATCGAAATGATCCTAATAAGAGTAAAAAATACTTTCATTTGATACCAAATATGATATATTTGAGTTAAAAAATAAAAAATTTAGGTTAGAATCTGTCAAAATTAAATATAACGATATTGTGATAAATATCGAAATGATCTTAATAAGAATCAAAAATGCTTTAGTTTGATACCAAATATTATATATTTGGGTTAAAAAATACAAAAGTTAGGTTAGAATCTGTGAAATGTCAAAATTAAATATAACGATTTTGTGATAAATATCGAAATGATCTTAATAAGAACCAAAAATGCTTTAGTTTGATTCCAAACATGATATAGTTGGGTTAAAAAGTAAAAAATTTAGGTTAGAATCTGTCAAATGTCAAAATTAAATATAACGATTTTGTGATAAATATCGAAATGATCTTAATAAGAGTCAAAAATACTTTCATTTGGTATCAAATATGATATATTTGAGTTAAAAAATAAAAAATTAGGTTAGAATCTGTCAAATGTCAAAATTAAATATAACGATTTTGTGATAAATATCGAATGATCTTAATAAGAATCAAAAATGTTTTCATTTGATACCAACCATGATATATTTGAGTTAAAAAATTAGGTTAGAACCTGTCAAATGTCAAAATTAAATATAATAATTTTTTGATAAATATTAAAATGATCTTAATACGAATCAAAAAGTTATCATTTAATACCAAACGTGATATGTTTCCGTTTAAAAATAAAAAAGTTAGGTTAGAAACTGTCAAATGTCAAATAATCGCCATTTTTTTTGTTAAAAATCAAGATATCTTGATAACGGTTGGAGATAAATAGGTCAAGTTTGGGTTCATTTTAAAGGATTTTTAATTTTCTATCCATTCATGTTAAAAAAGAACAACTTTATAATTTATAACTAAAAAAATTAATAAATTTACCTAATTAATTACAAATTTACTACTATGTTGTGTTAATTTAATGCAGGGTTGCCAGGTTACACATATAGAATGTCATAAAAAATCGTGAGATGTTGAAATTTGTTTAAAAATCACTCAATTTTAGGATTCAAGTAAAGCAGTTTAGACAACGTTTGCATATAAAAGTGATATAATTAAAAGGAATGAAATATTACAATTTAAGTACTTTCTTAGCGCCATCTATCGGCGAATACATGTAACTAATAGAGATATTTACAGTAACCTACAATTCGAGTTGAAAATGCTATGATTTTACTTTGATTTTATTAACACTAATTATTATACTATTTTTGTAATAAAATCGTGAGAAGTACATGTGTGAGATCGTAAGATTAAAGGTAATATCACCTGGCAACCATGCTTTAATTATTACTACTACTAAATCAGACCGGAAGTGGCGGCCATTTTGAAAATATTTTAGATCGAACAACCCATGCTACCAAAATTTCAAATCTCTACGAATAGTGGAACTTGAAAAAGTTCTAACGAACCAGTTGTGTGAGACACCCTGTATATTATCTTACCTTATTAACAACATTAACTTTTAAATACATGCAATGGTTTTAGAAAGAACAAAAAGAATTTTTGCTAACTATTCAATAACTATAAGAAATACACCCAACAAACTATATACAGGATGTTTAGAAATTGGCGGATAATTTACACGTACAAATAATGCGAATTTCGCTGCAAATTGTTATTTTAACAATCTTAGGAAAAGAAAATGAAAAAAGATTGATTTTCTATATTCAAAGGTTGGTTGCTGCTGGTTTTGAAACTAAACATCGGCCACCATTTCGCAGCGGAAAAAGGAATAACGGCAAATGTATGGCTAAAATCGTTTTTGAAAAGAAATACTGAAATATCCATAAAACAAGCTGACCTTTCACTATCTAAACCTCTAGGAATACACAAAGAAGATACTACAAATCACGAAGTGCATCAACACATTTGTAAATAAGACAAAAACGTGTTAAATAAATCTAAAACATTCAAGTAGAGACAAAAAAAAACATTTAAAATTCTTACCAACGAAACCGCTTAAAAATCCTTCCTTTTCCAATCGAAGATCTCCTTCAGCTTTTTCTAATTCCGGGAGAAGAACCGCGGCGAAAGCCATCGATATCCCCACGACGACGTGATATGAAGCCGAGATTAACGTCGCTAGAATCTAATTAATCAACAAAATAATTTTAATTATTTTTATTAATTAATTAATAATACCTGAGGTAGTAAAGTTTTAAACCGTTTACTTTCATATCGGCTCAAAGAAGTACAACTGGTGATAATCAAGCTGAATTGTTCGTCTTGTTTCTTTTCCCTCGCGATTGCTTTTGCAGTTTCTTCATTGCTAAAAAATATTTTAATTATCATAAACTTTTTATTAACAATAATTAAAGAAAAATAATTCAATTACGTTTTATTATCGCGCACGTGCTACTTTAGATATAAATAAAAACTTTGAAGTCTCAATTTTGTACTAAAAAATGTTATTTTGTTATTCCGTTTCGTTTAGAACTTTGTTATAAATATTTACATAACGAATTTTTAAGAATCATCATTGAATAAGTATTTTTCCTTGGAAAAAATTAATGATGACTAGGAAATTTTTGTTGGCACAACGCTATGTATAAAAAAAATAATTATCTAACAAATCACATGCCAAAATGACATCATAAATGAAATTGAATGAATCGAATCGTATCGAACTCGCCCTGTTTTTAATAATAATAATAAACTGTGTTAGAAACAAATTTAAATTTCTAAAAGTGTCTTTTTGAAATCGCCGACGTAGAAACGATAATTCAAGGTTACGAGAGTTTCTGTTTGAATCGATCTCGTCTTTGTTGCCTTTTAAAGTGGCATTTAATTGACACACAATTCGTTCGATTTAGACATTTGTCACTTTGTTTTAATTAAAGGGCGGTGTCTCAACCAATCCGGTTTTAATTGGTTTGTTTATCTTTTTATTCGAGGAAAAATGAGAACAACACAAATTTAATAATTACTTTTAAAAAATTCTAACCTAATTTGAACTGTCACATAACGTGACAGTTCGCTATTAAGTTCGCAATTACACTAATAGATGGCGCTAATTAATAATTTTAATTAAATTATAATTTTGGTGTTATAAAAAAAATAAAATATAAAAAATAATGTTTAAAAAACTATTTTAATTTTTATATTTTATTCTTTTTTTTTTGAGACAAAATAATTTAAATTGAAATAATAATTAACACCATCTATTAGTGTAATTGCGAACTTAATAATGAAGTGTCAAATTATGTGACAGATCAAATTTTTAGGTTAGAATTTGATTAAATCCTTAAATTCCTTTATCTTAAGTCGCGTTTAATAAATAAATACTCACTGTAAAGTAAAGGCACTGGCACTAAAACAAAAAAGAATTAAATAAATTTGTGATAAAACAAAAAAAAATAAATTATTACCTTATATCCATAATTTAGTTATAAAAACTTGATTATCCTTATTTATTTGTTATAAAGTGTCTGCAATAAAAAATAAAAATGAAATAAGATTCGATTGGAATAGAAAAATCTTATATTAAAGCAGATCACGCGACGAAAACTGATTTAATCCCCCACTTTTTTTAATATAAAATTTATTACTTCAATTTGCGAAAACGTATTTTTATTTGTCCCTTTTTTACGACTTTATTGTTTCGCTTAATAAATGAAAATCCCGATAAAAATCTAATATTTCATCGTAACATTATTCGAAACCCAATAAATTTGTCACTTTTAGACTTAGGGGGCTTTTAAAAACGATATTTTAAACATTAAATAATAATCGTGATCGCGTGAGTAAAGGTGAAATTGTGTAACAATTTTTTTTTGCACAATCTCGACCTCATTTAGTATAATTTAGTAAAATTTAATTAATAAACTAAACTTACAACTTTTATTAAGGCCACAGATTTGATTTTTTCTCTTCAGATTATTTCCTCCTTAAAAATTTCTTCTTCTTAACGTTTCCTTTTCATTCCGCTGATCCTTTTTATTTTTTCTTATGCGCGTCCTTTTTCGTTCAGGTATAAACTCTTAATAAAAGAAAATTAAAAAAAAAGTTGTTAAAAGAAACCCACAAAAACTTAAATTTTTATATTTAAAAGATTTTTTTAATGTTTTGTTATTATTATTATTACTTTTAAAAAGCTACTCAGGAGCTCGTAGCTCCACAAAATTCGTTTACGCAATGCAACTAATCGATTCCATTTCGCTACTCCCTCCTCGATTTCCAAACAACAACACAATGAACGTTTCGAGCGTTCTCTACATTGCGCAGAATCGAACTCTTTAATTATTAATTTTAAAAGTATTTGCAAAAGACGGAGAAAAATTGCAATACTTAGTTAGATGGCATTCTATTCCTCCATAATTTACATTCCTTAAGGCCTTGCATTATGAAACATTAATAAAAATGATTTTTCTGTATATACAGTATGCGCCAAAAAGTTAGTAACACCACAGTGTTTTTTAAAACCGTATTTCTTAGACATTGTATAATAACAAATATGAAAATTTGTATTGTTACGCTTCAAATCTGTCAAAAGATCTACAACTCTATCTGATAAAGCAGAGACTGTAACAGCTTGGGGCGTTTCTTATCTGACACTCTGTATATTTTGAAGCGTTATAATATGAAACTTGGTACTTCTGATAGACCGGAAGTGACGATAATTTAAAAAAACTAACTTTTTGGTACACGCTGTTCACCCAGATTTTTTAATGCAACCTGAAAATAAATAAAATCATCATTAATGTATTAATTAATTACAAATTTACTACTAATAAACCACTCTGTTGTGTTCCTTTAATGATTACCACTATTAAATCAGATATGGGTTGGCTTCTAAAGGGAAACTTTACCTAATCTATTGCTGCAAGAGTTGGAACGACAAATCTTAAATGTTTGATAAGAATGAGACTGGGAAGACTTGATACGAAACAGGAAATAGAAAAAGTAAAAAGATGTTACGTTTTTTTGATAAATGTTGAAATGATCGTAATAAGAATTAAAAATGCTTCAATTTGATACCAAACGTGATATAGTTGGGTTAAAAAATAAAAAAGTTAGGTTAGAATCTGTCAAATGTGAAAATTAAATATAATGATTTTTTGAGAAATATTGAAATGACGTGTATAGGTATCAAAAATGCTTTAATTTGATACCAAACACCACATATTTGTGTTAAAAAATAAAAAAGTTAGGTCAGAAACTGTCAAATGTCAAAATTAAATATAACGATTTTTTGATAAATATTGAAATGATCTTAATAAGAATCAAAAATGTTTTTATTTGATACCAAATATGATATATTTGGGTTAAAAAATAAAAAGATTAGGTTAGAATCTGTCAAATGTCAAAATTAAATATAACGATTTTTTGATAAATATTGAAATGATCTTAATAAGAATCAAAAATGTTTTCATTTGATACCAAATATGCCATATTTGGGTTAAGAAGTAAAAAAGTTAGGTTAAAAACTGTCAAATGTCAAAATGAAATACAATGATTTTTTGATAAATATTGAAATGACGTGTATAAGAATCAAAAATGCTTTAATTTGATACCAAACATGATCTGTTTGGGTTAAAAAATAAAAAAGTTAGGTTAGAATCTGTCAAATGTCAAAATTAAATATAATGGTTTTTTGATAAATATTGAAATGACGTGTATAAGGATCAAAAAAGCTTTAATTTGATACCAAACATCACATATTTGTGTTAAAATATAAAAAAGCTAGGTTAAAATCTGTCAAATGTCAAAATTAAATATAATGATTTTTTGATAAATATTGAAATAACATGTATAAGAATCAAAAATGCTTCCATTTGATACCAAACATGATATATTTGGGTCAAAAAATAAAAAAGTTAGGTTAGAATCCGTCAAATGTCAAAATTAAATATAACGATTTTTTGATAAATATCGAAATGATCTTAATAAGAATCAAAAATGCTTTAATTTAATACCACACATGATGTAGTTGGGTTAAAAAATAAAAAAGTTAGGTTAGAATCTGTCAAATGTCAAAATTAAATGTAACGATTTTTTGATAAATATTGAAATGATCTTAATACGAATCAAAAATGTTATCATTTAATACCAATCGTGATATGTTTACGTTAAAAAATAAAAAGGTTAGGTTAGAAACTGTCAAATGTCAAATAATCGCCATTTTTTTTGTTAAAAATCAAGATATCTCGATAACGGTTGGAGATAAATAGGTCGAGTTTGGGTTCATTTTAAAGGATTTTTAATTTCCTATCCAGTCATGTTGAAAAAGAACAGCTTTATAACTAAAAAAAATAAGTAAAATCATTTATGTATTAATTAATCACTACTTATAAACTAGTTTTTTGGATTTTGTTCTTTATGTTGTGTTCCTTTAATGATTACCAGTTTAACGTTTGATAAGAATGAGACTGGGGAGAGAGGATACTGGCTGAATAGAGACTTACAAGACAACAAGGGTGCAGAAGAGAGATATTGGACACTTGAAAGAAACTCCTAATGCAAGAGAAAATGATAACACAGATAAGGCAAAACCCGGATTGAACTGAACAAAGAGAAGGGAGGGTGGAAAGTGGGTGGTAATAAAAGAAAAAGATTGAATAGAGACAAGAATAATACTGGTCAGAGAGGATAGTGGCTGATTAGAGATAAGAGAGAGAGATGGGACACTTGAAAGAAACTCCTCAGTCAAGACAATGAGAACACAGAGACTGAATTGAAACTAGAATCTATACATAAAAATAATGAAATTGAAAATTATAACTTAGCTTATCTTGTAGATTACTGAAGTTCTCTGAAGAATCTGTAACAATAATTCTTGATTGGCTTGGAATAATTCTTCGGAATGGTATACTGGATTAATTGGATCAGGAACCAGTTAATTTTCTTGTTTATTATTAAAGGTGAATAATTTTAATTCAAATAATCTTCTTAATGTAACTTATTAAATAACAAGTTTACTATTTTAAGGTTATGTCATAATGGTGATTGACAAGTATTTTGTTTCGGTTTTTTTGAAATAATCGCGGACAAGATTAGCGTGCGCTCCTAATCACGTTCGAAATCACATTAAAATCAACCAGTTTCGTTTGTTTATTGCAAGAACGTTTTAAATAACGTGTTCTGATTGGCTAAATTCTTCAACTTGAAATTCGTAATTTAAATTTCTCCGGTATAGCCAACTTTGAAATGTCAAATGTCACCAATTAAATTTTATCAAAAATTATATTTTAACAATATTTATGTATGAAATGTTGTAGTTTTGTTTGATTTAACTTTGTTTGTGTTGATTTCGGTACATTTTTTTTTAGATTTCAATATCCAGCTTAAAAAATATATTCAAATTTTTAATCTACGGATTTTCGTCGAAATTTTCATCAAAACTCCCATATAAATCCCATATGATGGATGGTTTTCGTTCTTGACATGCTGAGGTTATCGTTTTTAATAGTTTTAACTGGATAAACATGAATTACAATGAGAAATTAATGAAAAATTAAATTTGAGGTTATGTCGCTGTCAAAGTTGTACTAAATTACTTCGTATTGAGTTTGCAGGGATTAAATGCAATAAAAAACGTAAATGGTAATTAAATAATGAATTCTAACATGTTTATAATAAGTATGTTGGGATATTTTTTTATTTAATTAGTAATTTTACCATTTCTTACCACTTATCGCTATAGAATGTCTTTCTAGGAGCCAATCATGGTGGTTAATCTTGAGATTTTTGTCTGCACGAACTTGCCAACTGATGCTACTACTTCTATGGTACCAAAAATCCTCATTACTTCCTTCCAAATTGTGAGCTTCAAGCTCAACAAATCTTACATAATATCTTGTACGTTATGAAACTCAATATTTTCCTTATAAAAGATTTCCTCGTCTGTCAGCTCATCTATTTCTGGGGGCAAAGCATCTTGGAGAGTTTTGAAGGAGTATTTAGGACTGTAAAATTAGATAGGATTGATGAAAAGTTATTAAACAATGTATAAACAAATTATTTAATAAACATCATTATAATAAGATTATCACAAAAATGTACTTAAAAAGTAAGTATTGTTGTCTTGTCGAGGTTTTGAAATTACTTTTGTATATGGCAAAAATGTTGTACGACTTATCATTATTATTAAAAAAAATAATAATAACCAGAAATTAAAAATTAATACTGGTCTCTAAGTTTTAAATAAATCAAAAAAATTAAGTTAATTAATTAAAAATTCTTAAATACACCAAATTTCTCCTAAAAAAAATCTTAATTCCCTTCCTCCATCAAATTTTTACTTTGTCCTTTATCATCGGCTTTTTCCACGTCCGTTTTGGCAGCGCGATTTTTAACAATCGGTTTCTTTTCTTTCCCCTTCTTCTCCTTTTTCTTCGCCAACAGATAAATCGTGTTCTCGTTGAAATACTCAACGATGTCCGTTAATTTCTTTCCGTGAGTTTCCGGTTGGAACACAAACGAATAAACCAATCCGGCCAACGCCATCACCCCAAAAAAGAATTGCACTCCCGCTGCGCCCCCAAACAATCTCTCCAACGGATAATAACTTTGAATTGCGGCAAACATCAAAGTATTCGCTATACTATAAGATAAACTTTGAGCAACTCCACGAATTTCCAACGGGAATAATTCGGCCGACATCGTCCAAGGAATTGGGAGGAGCCCGATCATTGAGGTGATCACATAAATAACCAAAAGGATGACAGGAACCCATTTTAAGAACGAATTGGTACCATCGTTCTTCCCATGGAGAGTGTACATACCGGAAATAAACATACAAATTGCCATTCCAACGCAACTGACTAAGACGAGAGGACGACGTTGGAAACGACGTAACATGTAGGTGTTTGCTAAGGACATTACGAAACGTACGGTTCCGAGGAATATTGAGGCTAAGTAGGGATTAAGGTTTTGATCGACTTTCTAAAAATTTAAAAAAATATTAATTAAAGAGTTTGGGTACGTTAAGTTTTATATACCTTGAAGAAATGTATGGCGTAGAATAAAGTTATGTAAATTCCGGAGAATTGTTGGAAACAGAACAGACCCAGCAAAAGAATTAAAGGTTTGTATGCGGTTGGTTTCATTAAATCCTTGAAGATTTGGACTTTTGAACGAATTGCGGGGGCCTCTTCTTTTTTCTTTCTGTCGTCTTTAACTAAAACGGCTAAATGTAATTCTGCCATGGTTTGCATCTAAAAATAAGAAGAAAAAATGCTACAATAAAGCTAAAAATAAACTTTTTTTTTAGTGTCGTCAAAGAAATTAAATTTACAGTTTCCTGTAAATTAGCGTACTATAACTAAAAACTATTCTACCAAAAATTTATATAAAATTTACTTTATTTTCTAATATGTAACATTCCAACATGTTAAACTTTCCGTAATTTTCGAAATCCATCTTAAAAAAACAGGATTTTTAATTTGACACTTCAGAAAATTTTTGACATAAGAGCGCCATCTATCAATAATTTATTAAGTCATTTAATAATATTAAATATTAATAAAAAATTGTGAAATAATGCAATCTATTCCAACTTTTGCGTAAAACAAATATAAATTAAATAGTTCAACAAATGTATTTGATTCAAATATCAGAAATATGTTTTTTTAATTTTTAGTTATAATTTACAGGAAACTGTAAATTTAATTTCTTTAACGACACTAAAAAAAGAAGTTTATTTTTAATAGACCTGTTAAACCCTATATTTTTATAATCAGAAAAAAAAAGAATTTAATAAGCGAATAATCAGTGGTTGTTTCCATTTAAAAAAACGAAAATTGTCATAATATCTCAAAATCTAAAACTGAAAAATTTTTTTTGACTACGTCATGAAATTCTCTGTAAAAAAGTGTCCATATAATGTCTTAGTTATAATACTCCACCTATAATAATAACAAAGATAATTGCACTTCTTGGTTTTACGATATTTTCCGTTTTGGCCACTAGGGGAAAAACAAAAGACGATAGCGCTTTGATGTTTTCGGCATTAGCAGCTACTTTGTTTCTACCTCTTATAGTTTCCGAGTTAGCCTATTCGAACATCGAATTTGAACCACCCTGTACCTACTGATTCAGAGTCAAGACGAAAGTCTCGGAAATAGACGGATTAACAAGATTACGAATAGATTACATGAAATATCAAGATGAAAACTCAAAAATGCTTTCATTTGATACCAAACATGATATATTTGGGTTAAAAAATAAAAAAATTAGGTTACAAACTGTGAAACGTCAAAATAAAATATAACGATTTTGTGATAAATATTGAAATGATCTTAATAAAAATTAAAAATACTTTAATTTGATACCAAACACGATGTGTTTGGGTTAAAAGATAAAAAAGTGAGGTTGGAATCTGTCAAATGTCAAAATTAAATGTAATGATTTTTTGATAAATATTGAAATGATCTTAATAAAAATCAAAAATGCTTTCATTTGATACCAAACATGACATATTTGGATTAAAAAATAAAAAAGTTAGTTTAGAATCTGTCAAATGTCAACATTAAATGTAACGATTTTTTGATAAATGTTGAAATGATCTTAATAAGTATCAAAAATGCTTTCATTTGATACCAAATATGATATATTTGGGTTAAAACAAAAAAGTTAGGTTAGATAGTGTCAAAAGTCAAAATTAAATATAACAATTTTTTGATAAACATCGAAATGATCTTAATAAGAATCAAAAATGCTTTCATTTAATACTAAACATGATATATTTGGGTTAAAAAATAAAAAAGTTTGGTTATAACTGTCAAATGTCAAATAATCGCCTTTTTTTTGTTAAAAATTAAGATATCTCGATAATGGTTACAGATAAATTAGTTGAGTTTGGATTCATTTTAAAAGATTTTTAATTTTCTATCCATTTATGTTAAAGTTATGTTGGAAACTGTCAAAGGTCAAAATTAAATGTAACGATTTTTGATAAATAGTGAAATGATCTTAATAAGAATTAAAAATGCTTTCATTTGATACCAAACATGATATAGTTGGGTTAAAAAATAGAAAAGTTAGGTTGGAAACTGTCAAATGTCAAAATTAGATATAACGATTTTTCATAAATATTGAAATGACGGTTATAAGAATCAAAAATGCTTTCATTTGATACCAAATATGCTATATTTTGGTTAAAAAGTAAAAAAGTTAGGTTAAAAACTGTCAAATGTTAAAATTAAATATAACGATTTTTGATAAATAGTGAAATGATCTTAATAAGAATTAAAAATGCTTTAATTTGATACCAAACATGATGTGTTTCGGTTACAAGATAAAAAAGTGAGGTTGGAATCTGTCAAATGTCAAAATTAAATGTAACGATTTTTTGATAAATATTGAAATGATCTTAATAAAAATCAAAAATGCTTTCATTTGATACCAAACATGATATAGTTGGGTTAAAAAATGAAAAAGTTAGGGTAGAAACTGTCAAATGTCAAATTAAATATAATGATTTTTCGATAAATATTGAAATGATCTTAATAAGAATCAAACCTGCCTTCATTTGATACCAAACACGATATATTTAGGTTAAAAAATAAAAAAGTTAAGTTAGAAACTGTCAAATGTCAAAATTATATATAACGATTTTTTGATAAATATTGAAATGATCATTGATCTTAATATGAATCAAAAATGCTTTAATTTGATACCAAACATGATATATTTGGGTTAAAAATAAAAAAGTTAGGTTATAACTGTCAAATGTCAAATAAACGCAATTTTTCTTGTTAAAAATTAAGATATCTCGATAACTGTTACAGACAAACTGGTTGAGTTTGGATTCATTTTAAATGATTTTTAATTTTCTATCCATTTATGTTAAAGTGAGGTTGGAAACTGTCAAATGTCAAAATTAAATGTAACGATTTTTGATAAATAGTGAAATGATCTTAATAAGAATCAAAAATGCTTTCATTTGATACCAAATATGCTATATTTTGGTTAAAAAGTAAAAAAGTTAGGTTAAAAACTGTCAAATGTCAAAATTAAATGTAACGATTTTTTGATAAATATTGAAATGACCTTAATAAGAATCAAAAATGCTTTAATTTGATACCAAACATGATATATTTCGGTTAAAAAAGTTAGGTTATAACTGTCAAATGTCAAATAATCGCCATTTTCTTTTGCTAAAAATCAAGATATCTCGATAACGGTTGGAGATAAATAGGTCGAGTTTGGGTTCATTTTAAAGGATTTTTAATTTTCTACCTATTAATGTTAAAAAAAGAACAGCTAAGAAAGAAAAAATAACTTCGACGGAATTTTTGTGCTACGCGTAAGAATCAGCGAACTTAACGTTTATGAATTAGCTCTGCTTTTATTTTAACTGTTAAAACTTTAAACAAATAAAAATCCTCAAACCCAAAGATAACTGCGCATTTTAGAATTCGATAAATTTGACGTTTCATTTTGACAGATGTGATTTAAAACATTTCGATTTTGACATCGTCCATTTGATTAAGTATAAAAAATCCTTTCATTTGATACCAAACACGATATATTTTGGTGAAAAAATATACAAATTAGGTTATAAACTGTCAAATGTCAAATAATCGCCATTTTTTTTTTTGTTAAAATTTAAGATATCTCGATAACCGTTGGAGATAAACAGGTCGAGTTTGGGTTCATTTTAAAGGATTTTTAATTTCCTATCGATTTATGTTAAAAAAATAACTAAAAATTTTTTAATTTAAATTTTTTTACCCTATCTTGCGGTTTTGGATGATACTTATGGATCCACTCCAACGATTTCCTCGCTTGCTCCAACCTTCCTTTACTAACTAACCAAACGGGGCTCTCCGGGATTAATAACACCAAAAAGCATGGTATGATCGAGAGAGCGGTACAAACCCAAGACACTTGTCTCCAGGTCATAAACCAACCCATTAAGTACGCCAACACCATTCCTAACGATGTAAAAGCGGGCGCCGAAGAAATCAACGAACCCCTCATATCCGCACGGGCTATTTCCGTTATATAAACAATAGCGGGACTTGTACCAAAAGCTAAAAATAAATTATTTAATTGATTTGGTGAAGTGAAATTGAAGCGATTTGCTTACATCCAGCTAAACCGGTTAAGAGGCGTCCAACTAACACCATCGGGATGTTTTGAGCGGTGGCTATTAAGGCCCAACCGATCGTAACAGGAATTGTGGTTAGTTTTAATGTGTGGAGTCGCCCAAGGTAATCCATTATAAAACCGCATACTATTGAAGCTATTGGCACAACAATTACTATGATACTTGCTGTAACAAAACGAAAGAATTTATTTTAATACATTTTCATGAAACTGACAAAGAATTTAATTAAAAATTTGCAACCGCGATAACATTCAAGAAATAACTAGACGATAAGTTGGAATGTTTAAACGCGTATGATTCATAATTATCGTTAAGCGATAAGGAGAAAAAGCTTTGTACCAATAAATCCACCAGTTGTGCCATTTTTCTCTATATTTAAGTCTCCTTCCGTCTCCTCCAAAACGGGAATTAGAACAGCTGAGAAGGCTAAAGATATTCCATAAACGATGTGGTAAGATGACGAGATTAAAGCAGCTAGAATCTAAAATTTAAGTATTAAATTAAACTTGCTTAAAAAAAATCAATTTGAAGTGTTACTTGAGGTAGTAAAGTTTTAAATCTTTTGCTTTCATATCGACTCAAAGAGGTGCAGCTGGTTATTATGAGATTAAACTGTTCGTCTTGTTTTCTTTCTTTGGCGATGGCTTTCTCTTCATTTCTAACAAAAAAAAAGTAAATAAATCAATAATATCTAATTAAATTGTTTGTGTTAAATCCGCCTTCATAAGTCAGTATAAATAAATGCGTATTTGGCAACGTGATAGTAATTTCAAGGACGTAGTTTTGCAAACGCGACTAGTAAATTGAATGGCTCGTGTATAATAAGAATGCGAGACAAGAAATGTTCTTTTTGTTTTTCTTTAATGTGTTGTTTATGTGTTGCGTATTTGGCGTAACGATTTCCTGGTCTATTTTTAAAAAAAAAGCTCGATAAAAGCTGACTATTTATATTTTTTTAATTTCTTTAAATTGTTTTTAAAAATAAGAAATAAAAAAATGGTTTACTCACTGTAAATTAAAGGCACTGGCGCTAAAATTGAAGGAAAAAACAAAAACAAACGTTAACAATCAATCAATCAACAATAATTATTACTACTTAGTAATTAATTAATTAATTAATATTAAAAAATTTCGATTACCTAATATCCATTTTATTAAGCCACTTGTGTTATATTAATCCTTTAAGTATTAATAGGCACTGGGTTCCTCCTTCTACTTTGTGGTATTAAATATTTTTAAGTTTTAATCTGAAAAGAAATAAAATAAAAATGTAAAAATAAATTCAAATCTTTCCAAGAAACAATTTTTATTGCTACATTGTTACGTTCGAAACAATAGGTTATTTTTTTCGAAATAAATTTGGAGACACAACATTCATTAAAAAAAGCAAACATGACGTAATACTTTTTTTATTTGAGAAAAATAAAAAAAAAACGGGTCAAGTAGAAATTGTTTCGATTCGAAAAATCCGTTCAATCGAGAAAAGTAATTGAAATTAAATGTTAATATTAATCGGCATAAAATTTAATCTACAAAAAGGCGCGATTCTAATCTCATTTTGGAACTTGAAGTGCGTTGTAAATCAACGTTATTTAAAAAAATAATAAAAGTGATAATAATAAAAAGAATTTCATCAAATCTCGTTGTTATTATTAATATAAGGTATTTCGAGATTTTACAATCGAGTTTTATAAAAGCACTTTGAATCCTTGATAAGATTTAAAAATTATAAAAAAAAAATTTCATTTCAACTAAATTCGATAAATTTAATTCATTCGAGAAGAACTAATCAGAACTAACGAAGAAGATCGAGGCAGCTATGCTACCGAGGCACTGGCTCAAGAATTACAAAGCAATAAAAAAATATTTGTCGTCTGTAATAATGTATCGTAAGAAACCGAGGCAGCCCTGCTGCCGAGGCAGTAGCTCAAGTATAACGAAGTTCTTAGGAAACGTTTCTCTTTAGCATTAATATATTATTACAAGCCGAGGCAGCTGTGCTGCCGAGGCAGTGGCTCAAGGATTACAAAGCAATAAAAAAATATTTGTCGTCTGTAATAATGTATCCTAAGAAACCGAGGCAGCCCTGCTGCCGAGGCAGTAGCTCAAGTATAACGAAGTTCTTAGGAAATGTTTCTCTTTAGCATTAATATATTTTTACAAGCCGAGGCAGCTATGCTGCCGAGGCAGTGGCTCAAGGATTACAAAACAATAAAAAAATATTTGTCGTCTGTAATAATGTATCGTAAGAAACCGAGGCAGCCTCGCTGCCGAGGCAATAGCTCAAGTATAACAAAGTATTTAGAAAATGTTTCTCTTTAGCATCAATATATTATTACAACCCGAGGCAGCTATGCTGCCGAGGCAGTAGCTTAAATATTATAAACCAATAAGAAATGGTTTGTCTTCAGTATTAATATATCATTACAATCCGAGGCAGCGGTGCTGCCGAGGCAGTGGCTCAAGAATTAGAAAGCAATAAGAAAATGTTTGTCGTCTATAATAATATATCTTAAGAAACCGAAGCAGCTTTGCTGCCGAGGCAGTAGTTCAAGTACAAGTCATGGAATAGAACTGTTGTCGGCGATGGTGTCGGAGTATGCTCATTGTTTGTTGATTTCTTTTCTTCGGTTTTTGTGGATCCTGCTCCAATCCAGCAGAAAGTAGATTGTATAGAAATGGATACCCTTCCTTTGAGTCAGATGCAGTTTGACAGAATTGAGGTTGAGGAGGCCCTGATGGGCATCAGGGTTACAGACAGTATAGGTACTGATGGTATTCCATCAATTTTAATAAAGGAATGTTCACACTCTCTGTCCCTTCCTTTAACCATTTTATTTAATGCTTCATTGATAATGGGTGTCTTTCCTTTATTGTGGAAGCGGGCTTTTGTTCTTCCCATTTTTAAATCTGGGGACCGTGGTGCTATATCCGATTACCGCCCCATATCTATTTTGCCAGCATTTGGGAAAGTGTTTGAGAAAGTAGTTCATGCACGTCTATTCTTTGCCCTTAAGTCTAAAATCAATTCTAGACAACATGGTTTTTTTGCTGGTCGCTCGGTGGAGAGTAACTTGCTTGAATATACCCAGTATATCTTATCTACTCTGGATGATTCTTGTCAGGTTGATTCAGTTTATACGGATTTTAGTAAAGCTTTCGACCGGGTGGATCACAACTTACTTCTGTTCAAACTAAAGAAGTTTGGTGTTCAGGGAAATCTTTTGCAATGGCTTGCTTCCTATCTGAAGGAGAGATGCCAGATTGTTTCGGTTAATGGTTTTTTCTCTAATCCTGTGTCGGTTCCTTCTGGTGTTCCACAGGGTAGCCATCTGGGCCCTTTACTGTTTAATATTTATGTTAACGACATATTTGACGTCGTTAATTATGCCCAATGTTTAATGTATGCTGACGATTTAAAACTCTTTCTCCGTATCTCCTCACCTCTTGATTGTTCTAAACTGCAATCTGACTTAAACAATCTACATGCTTTTTGCTTAAATAATCGCCTTTCATTAAACTTATCAAAGTGTAATGTTATTTCCTTCTCTAGGAGGGTGAACACAATCCACTACAATTATAGCGTCGCTGGTGAGAGGTTGCAACGTGTCTCATTTATTAGAGATTTGGGTGTTACATTTGATTATAAATTATTATTTGATAAACATATCGATACTGTTGTCTCCAAAGCCTGGCGTATGTTAGGATTTATTATGAGATCAACGGTAGCTTTTTCAAACATTGCTGCAATTAGAAATCTCTATTTTGCCTATGTTTACAGCACACTTAACTTCTGCAGCGTCGTTTGGAATCCTCAGTATCTCTCGTATAAATCTAGAATTGAGCGTATTCAATCTAAATTCCTCAAATACCTTTGTTTTAAATTTTCCATTCAATACATTGATTACGAATCAACTTGCACTTCTTTTCGTATGTTAACCCTCAACCAGCGTCGCTTTTGTGGGGATATATTATATTTTTACAAACTTTTGAACAACAAGTGTGATTCTCCAATGCTTGTTGGTTCTATATGTGTTCACGTTCCTCCGAGATTACTTCGCTTTGATTTTCTATTTATGACACCTACTCTTAGAACCAATGCCTGTCAAACTCTCCTTTATTGAGAATGGCAAGATCGGCGAATCGTGTTAACATAGATCTGTTTCAGCATTCATTCTATGCATTTAAAAAACTGCTCTTTGCTGCAGTTGGTGTGTTGCCTCGAGCGTTCATTTGATATTTGATATATGATATATTTATATCACCTAAACTTTGTTTTATTTTTTTTCCTTTTGTACCATTAATGTTAATTCATTATTATTAGTATTGTGAACTGTAATTCTATTTTATTTGTATACAATTGGTTGTTTGTGGCACAGTATTATTGGGTTCGACCTGTTTCTGTACCCACATGAAATAAATAAATAAATAAATAACAAAGTATTTAGAAAACGTTTCTCTTTAGCATTAATATATTATTAATTATTACAAGCCGAGGCAGCTATGCTGCCGAGGCAGTAGCTTAAATATTATAAACCAATAAGAAATGGTTTGTCTTCAGTATTAATATATCATTACAATCCGAGGCAGCTGTGCTGCCGAGGCAGTGGCTCAAGGATTACAAAGCAATAAGAAAATGTTTGTCGTCTGTAATAATATATCGTAAGAAACCGAGGTAGCCCTGCTGCCGAGGCAGTAGCTCAAGTATAACGAAGTTCTTAGGAAACGTTTCTCTTTAGCATTAATATATTATTACAAGCCGAGGCAGCTGTGCTGCCGAGGCAGTGGTTCAAGGATTACAAAGCAATAAAAAAATATTTGTCGTCTGTAATAATGTATCGTAAGAAACCGAGGCAGCCTTGCTGCCGAGGCAGTAGCTCAAGTATAACGAAGTTCTTAGGAAACGTTTCTCTTTAGCATTAATATATTATTACAAGCCGAGGCAGCTGTGCTGCCGAGGCAGTGGTTCAAGGATTACAAAGCAATAAAAAAATATTTGTCGTCTGTAATAATGTATCGTAAGAAACCGAGGCAGCCTTGCTGCCGAGGCAGTAGCTCAAGTATAACGAAGTTCTTAGGAAACGTTTCTCTTTAGCATTAATATATTATTACAAGCCGAGGCAGCTGTGCTGCCGAGGCAGTGGTTCAAGGATTACAAAGCAATAAAAAAATATTTGTCGTCTGTAATAATGTATCGTAAGAAACCGAGGCAGCCTTGCTGCCGAGGCAGTAGCTCAAGTATAACGAAGTTCTTAGGAAACGTTTCTCTTTAGCATTAATATATTATTACAAGCCGAGGCAGCTGTGCTGCCGAGGCAGTGGTTCAAGGATTACAAAGCAATAAAAAAATATTTGTCGTCTGTAATAATGTATCGTAAGAAACCGAGGCAGCCTTGCTGCCGAGGCAGTAGCTCAAGTATAACGAAGTTCTTAGGAAACGTTTCTCTTTAGCATTAATATATTATTACAAGCCGAGGCAGTAGCTTAAATATTATAAACCAATAAGAAATGGTTTGTCTTCAGTATTAATATATCATTACAATCCGAGGCAGCTGTGCTGCCGAGGCACTGGCTCAAGGATTACAAAGCAATAAGAAAATGTTTGTCGTCTATAACAATATATCTTAAGAAACCGAGGCAGCTTTGCTGCCGAGGCAGTAGTTCAAGTATAATAAAGCACTTAGAAAACATTTCTCTTTATCATTAATGTGTTATTACAAGCCGAGGTTATTACAGCTATCTATATTCAGTATTAATATACAGTGTGCGGCAAAGTTATGAAATAAATTCAATAAAATGCTTATAAACGTTATTTTGCAAAAACGGCGAAACAAGTCTATTTTGGTTTTTCAAAACACACATTTTGACATTTCACTTCCCGATGGTGATTTGTTTCAAGTTATGACGTCATCAACAATTGTCTTTTATTATGGAATATAAATGAGCTTCTTTTTTGTTGACGTCATAAAATAAAATGTGTTTTGAAAAACTAAAATAGACTTGTTTATAAGCGTTTTATTGAATTTATTCCATAATTTTGCCGCACACTGTATTATTACAAACCGAGGCAACTGTGCTGCCGAGGCAATAGTTCTGCTATTACAAAGTGATAAAAGAAGGTTTGTCTTCTATATTACTACATATATCTTAAGAAGCTGAGACAGCTGTGTTGCCGAGGCAGCAGCTCAAACAATACAAAACAATAAGAAAACATTTGTCTTTAGTATTAATACACATACAAGGTGTT